CGAAAGGCACGGTTTGCCCAACGGTTTATGACTTCTGACCAAGACAAGATTGACCATTTCGTCGATGGGCTACGACGAGAAATCCGTGACTTCGTTGCGAACCGTGATATTCCGAGTTTTGGTAAAGCTGTCGAATATGCTCGACGCCGCGAACATGATTTAACGATACCCGATAATACCGTTTCCACACCAAAACGGCAAAGAACTGACAAGATCTTTTCGGCATCGTCACATAAACCATCACGACTATTTACACCAAGACGGTCGCAGACTCAGAACAATCCCCGTGCTCCTTCTCAAGCTTATGCGTTACAGTCGAATACACCGAGAAACTGTCAGAAATGTGGCAAAGGCCACTTAGGGCGATGCAATACTAAACCGATGGGCTTACATTGTTTCTGTTGTGGTGAGGTGGGCCACATTCGTACAAATTGTCCTCGAAGAGAAGAAGCTTGTTACTCATGCGGGGTTCTCGGACATCGACAAAGAAATTGCCCACGGAGCAATCGAGAAGAAAGTAASGCATCAGTACAACGATCAACGACAACCGGTGCGTCAGGAAAAACAGAGGAGGTGCCCAAAGCGCGTGCTCGAGCTTTTGTGAACAAGCTCGCGAAGAACCCGACGTGGTCACTGGTATTTTTCTTGTTAATACTTTACCCGCACGCATTCTATTCGATTCTGGAGCTACAAATTCGTTTGTGTCACATTATTATACAAAATTCTTGAACTGTGAGCCCTCTATGCTCGRTAAAYCGTTCACCGTCAACATGGCAAACGGTACCATTTTAGTAGCTGATAAAATCTATAGAGGATGCATATTAGTGATAGATGACTTCAAGTTTTCAGTAGATTTAGTCTCAATGGATATACACGGTTTCGACATCGTAATCGGGATGGATTGGTTAGCGAAGAATCGAGCTGATATAATTTGTTCACAAAAGATGATACGAGTTCCGATCGACGACGGGAATTTCTTGTTCATATACGGGGAACGACGGGTGGGTGATATTAAGGTAATTTCCATGCTTAAGGCTCGTCGTTATCTAACGAAGGGATGCTCTTCTTTCTTAGCATATGTCCTAGATTCAACAAAGGAGATGAAGAAGATCGTGGATGATGTACCAATAGTACGTGAATACCCGGACGTGTTTCCTGAAGACTTTCCTGGATTGCCACCAGATAGGCAAGTGGAGTTTAGAATCGACTTGATACCGGGTGCAGCACCGATAGCGAAGACTCCTTATCGTCTCGTACCTCCAGAGATGAAAGAAATGATGGATCAACTACAAGAGCTATTAGATAAGGGTTTCATACGGCCGAGCACTTCACCCTGGGGTGCTCCGGTATTGTTTGTCAAGAAGAAAGACGGATCTTTCCGGATGTGCATTGATTACCATGAGCTGAATAAGGTAACGATTAAGAATAAGTATCCGTTACCTCGTATTGATGACTTGTTTGATCAGCTTCAAGGTGCAAGTTTCTTCTCCAAGATTGATCT